TATGTGTATATACGCACGCGCGCGTATATGTGTAACCACCGATCGACAGATCACATTCAGAATAGATTAATTTATCGTTTTAAATGCACAAATTACGAATCCAAGTTTCGCAGTTTACTATTCGATACTATGATTATAATTCGTACATATATGCCCTCTTCTATCTGCATGCTTGCACACGCGCAGATTTTTATTTTTATCAATTAAAAATTCATTTAACGCAAATTCTTTAATTTCTAGGATGCAAACGCTTCTGTTTACTTTGTTTATATTGTTATTTCTTGTTATTTGATATTTAAAGATTCTGAATTTATAACTTTTTATACCGATTGATTTTTTTTGAAAGTGATTAAATATATAAACAAAAGAAGAAAAAAAAAGAAAAAGAAGAAAACAATGAAATAATTTCCAAAAAGTAAAATATTAATAGAGAAAAGATAAAAAAAATGTATTTAAAATTATTTCAAATAATAAAAATGGAAGCGAATGCAAGAAAATAAAGAATATTTTTCTAGTAGATAACCTTTTTTCCCAAAATTATCAGAGTTCGTATAGAAGAGAGCATTAATCGTCAAAATGAAACAATCATTATTAAGTCGATGAACCGCAATATGTGAAAATCCTCCCTTTAACCGAAGTGTCGTTATTGCAAGTAAGAGAATGTGCGCTTAGATGTTTGGAGCTAACGTGGCCTCATCGAACTATTCAAAGGTTGCATGAGACCTCCATTTATGTAACCGTGATACGTTGTATAGACTGCTGCTGGATTTTGTTGATGCGGATCTTGTGGGTATGGTGCAGGTACATTAACGACTCCAACAGGTAATTGACTGGCTTGATTCATGAAACCACCAAGTTGAGCCGCTTGATTCATGTAACCGGTAGCAGGTTGTGCTACTCGATAACCATATTGAGCCATAAGATTCGTGTTCAATGCCACGTTAGGACTGACTCTACTAGCGGCGCTCTGCATTTGAGGACAGGTACTTCCAGGATCGAGAGTTTGACGATATAGGCTTTCGCTTGGATATGGTTGTGCAAGAGACGCCATATTTGCATTTGCCGATGATCTTGAAGTTGATCTACTCGGTGGTCCTGGAGTAGTAGGTGGTACTGTGTTGACATTATAATAATTTTTTGCATAACCAAGAGGTACTTGAGGTGGTGTTGGTAATTGTCTCGACGTTTGCGGTGGTGTCATAGTGTGCGGTATAGGAGGTGGTGGTGTTAAATTCATCGCTGGAGGAGGCGTAGGAGGAATCATCTCTAATCCATTAGTCAATTGTTGTAATTTTGCTAAACTGCACGAATTTGTAGTTTGATGATTTCCAGAAGCTGAGAGAGAAGGTGCTGGTGTATGCGAATGCGGTGGCATTGCGCTTGTTTGAATATAAAAATTTGTCGCTGTAGTACATGGCGTCGGTGCACCAGATCTGCTACTTCGATGTTGAATCACGTATGTATTTTGCGTTGGGAAAGTTTGAGAAGCAACAGCCATATAATTTCCTTGAGAAATAACAGCCATATTGTGTGAATGAGCAGCATGCGTGTGAGAATGAGGGTGCGGATGAGGAACAGGTGGTACACTCATTGACGAGGATTGTTGATATTGTGGAGGTACATGTGTCGTATGTGCAAC